GGCGACCCCCGCGCGATGGCCCTCGTCCTCGACGGGCGGGGCCTGCGCGACTTGAGCTTCGGCGACGCGCTCAGGCTCCGGGCCGAGACCGACCGCGCCAACTGGCTCGTGTAGGGGCCCAGGACCATGCTCTGGGTGCTCGGTTTCACGCAGCGCATGGCTGGCGGATCCATGGCCCGGCGCGCCCGATGGCTGGCGACGATGCAGCTCGGCGAGCACGATGAGAACGTCAAGCTCCACGAGACCATGCGCCGTGTGATCGAGACCGCGATGTGCCGCGCCTAGATCGTGATCTGCGAGCTCGCCCCATTCGAGCACCCGGCCCGCCAGCTCCAGCTGGTCGAGAGGCGGGCCTTCGAGGGGCGCGCGCGGAAGACGCAGCCGGAGCCCAAGGCGAAGGCGCAGGCCAAGGAGGCCAACCCGATCGACTTCGCCTCGGAGGTCGGGCACTTCTTTGGCGCGGGCGAGACGAAGGGCAACCTGTGTATCAGTCCTGCCTTGATGGATTGGATAACAGATCAGATGAAGAACGAGGCCGCAGTGGCGAAAGAACGACGCATGGCTCGCGAGGAGCGAGCCTTGCGGGCCCCATACGTGCCCCGAGGACGCTGGCCAGGATGGGCCTCCCGGGCACGCCGCTGCCGCTCGAGAGCCGGGTCAGCCACGCCCAGAGCCCTTCTCCGCCTGGTCTAGAGTCACCCAGGCGCGGTGATCATCGCCAGCGCGATGTTTTTCCTCTACCCCTTCTTCCCATGGGTGACTGCGGCAAGGACGAGCTGCGCGAGCACGGGGGCAGCGTGCGCACGCCTGCGGCGCAGGCAGCCTCTGTGGAGCACCTTGCGGACCAGCGCCGCGGGTTCGGGCCGCCCGCCGCCCGCTCAGAGAGGGGCAGCGCCTGCGAAGCATCCCTCGTGGAGATGCTCGCCCGGGCACCTGGCTACGCTGGCGACAGCGGTCGAGCGCGCCCCTACAGCAAGCCTCTTGTGGCCTGGCCCGAGTCGACGAAGGCTGTCTCCACCGCCGACGTCGTCTCCGAGGCTGGCTCCATCGTGCTGCAGGGTTGGAGGCAGAGTATGCTGAATCCCGAGTCGGTCTCGGCGGGGCTTCGTGAGTCTCTGGGGGTGGCGCGCCCCCCGCGTGGATCCTGGGCTTTGCCGTCGGCCCAAGTCGCGCGTCCAGTTTTTGAAACAGCTGGATGCCCGCGACGCGATGTCATGGCAGGCCGCCAGCCCACAGGCCTCTTTTTCGATTGGTTTGTTCTTTGTGGAGAAGTCCAACCACATGCTCAGGTTCGTTTTCGACACTCGGCTGGCCAACTGCAGTTTCACGGCGTCGCCAGCCACAAGGCTTCTCACGCCCAATGCGCGGGCCAGCGTCGGCTGCGACGACAGTTTTGCGTTCGCCCAGGGCGACATCCAGTGCGCGTTTCATCTTTTGCGGCTGCTTGCAGGAATGGAGTCGCTGTTCTCGCCGCCCTCGATCTCCAATCGATACATCGGTCTCAAATCCATCAATGGAGCCCCCCCCCCATCGGTAGTTCCGTTCAGCCCTTGGTCACTGTGGTCCCCATGGGTTGGAGCTGGGCTCTTCACTTATGTCCGAGTGCCCTAACGAGAGCTCTCGCCGACGTTGGGATCCAGGCTAGCGAGATGATTATGGATGGTGGCTTCCCTCGTCCGTTTGTCTCCCCGAGAGATGCTTTGTGCGCAGGTGATGTCGATGCTTTCTGTGTTGTGTCGACGAGCCCAGAGGTAGCCGCGTCCCGTGCCCGCGCCGTTGCCGACCTTCTCACTGATCGTGGTCTGCCTTCCCTGGACTTCTCGCTTGCTGTCAGCAAGGGGGTCTTCGCAGGTTTACGGATCGACGGGCTGTCTGGGCTTAATCGTGTGCGTCCTGGTCGGTTCGCCCGCACTCGTCAAGCAGTTCTTGGGCTTCTTCGACGTGGGCGGGCCTCCTCGGGGGCCCTCTCTGCGCTGGTCAGGCATTGTGCTTGGGGGGGGGGGGGGGGGGGGATCTTGGGACGTGACGTGCCGGCCATCTTCAACGCAGTCTATCGGTTCATCGGCGTCGTTGGGCCTCATCCTGGGCCTCTCCAGGAGCCTGTTGTCACGGAGCTGAGGGCCGCGGTGGCCTTGATCCCGCTTTTCAACCAGGTCTTGGTGGCGCTCGCGGGCCGACGCTTCTGACGCTTCGCCGTTCGGGAAGGGGGCGTGCATCGAGGGCGTCTCCCCTGAGCTAGCTTCGGAGGTCGGCCGAGTTGCTGAGAAGTGGAGGTATCACCAGGGGTCCAGCGTGTCCGCCAGGCCCCATGCCTTCGACGCTACGGGCCCCAATCACGATGCCGCTGATACCCGTCACCACGCCGCACCACCGCTGTCTTCGCCATCATCGTCGACGGACCGCCCTGGCTTCCTGGAGGTCCCTGGGTCTGTCGTCGGGTTCGAGGGTTGGAAGGCTACCCACTCGAGTCGTCACACCCGCGCTGGGTGTGATATCTTGCAGTGCGAGGCCGAGGCCTTGGTTCAGTGTTCACCACGCGTCCAGGACCTTGGGCGCTCATCACCATCGCGTCGTCTGCATCGTGGACAACTTGGCTCTAGCCCTCTCCGTCGGGAAGGGGCGTTCTGGCAGGCCCCACCTCGTGCGCGTCTTGAGGCGCATCGCGGGCGCGGCTCTGGCACGCGGTTTTCGCGCGCTGGTGCGCTGGGTGCTCGGCCCCCCAAGCGAAGTGATCAGCGGGGGGAGGGAACGGGCGGCCCTATCTGGGCCCACAAGCCTCCTGCGACGGAGCCCGTGCGTGCGGGAGGGCGCCGCGGTCTCGGCGACGACGGGCGGGAGCTACCCCGCTTGCGCCCAGGAGCTGCTGAACTGGCGCTTGTGGCCCGCGAGGCTCGGCAAGGTCAGCGCCGCGCTGGACATCGTCCCGGTGGCGTTCTTCGCCCGCCGCTTCCGCGATGCCTGCGCCGGCGCGACGGGCCCCGCGACGACGGCCGCGCCCAAGCAGCGCCCCCCCTCGATGCTGGCGGAGAGCAGGCCGCCGCCCAGGGCCGCTTGGGCCCTCCAGGGCTGGGCCAAGCTCGTGCCCCCGCAGATGCACCTACCTCTGGCGCTCGCCACCACGTTCGCGACCGTGGGCGCGCTGCTGGCCCAGGGTCGCATCGAGGAGGCCAGCCCGCGAAGCTTCTCCCCCGACCAGGCGCGCCAGGCCCTCGAGTGCTCCCCGACCCCGCCCCAGTGCGACGGGGAGCAGACCTCGCTGTGCTTGCTGCGCTTCGGGGGGGCGTGCAACCAACTCCTCGCGGGCCATCGGGCGCGGAAGGAGGTGAACGACCGAGGCCGTTGGAGGACGGAGCAATCGTTGAGCAGATATGCCAAGCGCAGTCGGATGCAGCCACGGCTGGGTCAGCTCCCACCTGCCCCCGTGGACGTCGGGGACAAGACCGCGCGGGACTTCCCCGGCTGAATGGAGGGGCTGGCGCGGACGGGCGCCCTCGCGCCCCCGCCGTCGCCGCCCCCCCCCCGCGACCGCGCCGCCTCCATCAAGGGGTGCGCCCGCGCTGGCCGACCGGCGGTCCGTCGTGCGAGGCGGCTCTGGAAGCGGTCGCGACAGCGCGCTGCCATCATGCCGCGCCATGCCATTGTGTGCACGTGTGCGCCGAATCGTGTTCGGAGTGCTCGCGAATCCCGCGGGCTCGGAACTGTGGCCATCAACCCTGCTCGTCACCGTCATGGCGACGCTGGGGATCCTCAGGCATTGAAGACTCTGATCGGATGGGTCCGCCCCTCGGCGGTCCTCGGGCTGCGGGCCTCCCTTCCTAGTGCTACTTGGAGTGTAGGTGCCGCTCGCGCGCGCCGCCTCGACTCACCGTTAGAGGGGGCGACGAGCGCGGAGGCCGACAGACGCGCCCTCCGCGTCGCGAGCGCCCTCGCCGTCGCCACTTTTAGGCCCATCTCGGAGTGTATTTCCCACGGGGCCCCCATCATCTTTACGCGCCCTCCGGCCAGCCTGATTTGGAGACGCCCCTTGCTGCCCGCGCCCCTCGCCCCCCCCCCCCCCCCCCCCCCCTGCTCCCTTGACTCCTGCATGCTTTCTGGCCGAGTCAGGCAGGGGATCTTCATGGTAGGTTGGGGCGTCACCGAACTCAACCTCCGGTCGCGCCGCTGCCACTGCCCCCGCGGCCTGTGCGACCGCGCAGGGCGTCGTCACCTGGGGGGCCTCGGTCGTCCAGCGCTGGATGCCGTCGCCCGAGCGTCTGCAAACGGATTCCTTTTGAACGGACATGATGGTGGCCGCCGCGCGTCAGCTGTCCCGTGCCGCCAAATATAGGACAATTTTTGGTCAATGAGTTTTTCGGCTGTGGCCATGTGTCGGGACTAGCGAGAGGTACCGAGTCTGTGCTTCACCAGCGGTCGTCTCGAGCTCGTGGCTGCCCTTCGCCGTTTGCACAAAAAGAAGGAATATGGCCCCGACTCACCCACATGCAGCGACTTGTCGGCATTTGTGGATCATCCGTGGCCGCAACACCTTTGCTCAAGTTCTTCCCAGGGCCTTCCCGCCCAACTTGAGCGCAAATATATACCTGTTTCACCGAGTCTGCGATCGTCTCGAGCTCGTGGCCGCCCTTCGCCGTTTGCACAAAAAGAAAGAAGATGGCCCCGATTCGCCCACAGGTCCATCATCAACAGCAGCATCAGCATCAACATCATCATCACCACCACCATTTCCCCATCCGCCTCATCCTCCACTCCCCCGTCTGGGGCCGCTGTAATTACGCAAGGTCCATGCCGAGTCGATCATTCAGATCCGTTTTCGATTCCGACCTGTTCGGTCTGGTTCGGTTTCGGTGTTCTGACGACCCAACGCGGCCCGATGTTTGCATGGCGTTGTTGCGCATCTTGGCGCAGCCGACCCCGCTTATCGACTCAATGCTGTCCGCTCCTTCCCCGTCCAAAGCAGTGAGCGTTTTTGGGGTTCTGGCCATTGCAGCCTGCGCGGTGCCATGCCGTGGTCTACCGTGGATGACGCAGTCGCCGCGTTTGGCAGGGGCGAGCTGGTCATGGTCATGGACAGCGACGACCGGGAGGACGTGGGGAGAGGAGGGATTGGCGATGCGAGAAGGTGCCATTTTCCCGTGGTGTCCTTTTGGTGCAAGGCACGGCGGAGGCAAAAGGACTGATAGCCCAGGGAAGGGCCCCACACGCATTCGCCTGGGAGCCTCGTCGAAAACACTGGATTAAGTGGTTTCCGCCCCCGTTGCAGCGGCCAGTAGGCCCAGAGGTGCGCCTGGGGGCGCCCCTCCAGTCACTCCTGGTGGCGCCCAGAGGTTTGTCTTGGGGCGGGGCGCCCCCCGGAAGCAGCAGCGCACCATCACCAGAGGTCTCCCCACGGCAGGGGTTAGTTACCCTTGCACAGAGCCAAATTCGAGGGCAACGTTAGGGGGTATATACTCGGGGGGGGAACGCATCTACTTCCAATCGCTCCTTGATTGCCAGCAGGGGCTTGACGTGCGGAGTCCCCTCCAGTGGAAGATATCGTCGATCTGTCGGCGACATATCGCCGATTCCAGGTTGATGTTTCCCCCTCTGATCCAGTCTCCCCCTTGACGTTCCCTTTTGAGAGCCGAAGGGGAGGAGGCCGGTGCGGGGAGTTGGGGACGCGGAGCCGTTGGGAAACAGAAGAGTAAAAAGAAGAGGAAACAGGGGTGGCAGCGGGGAATGAACGCAAAGTCGGGGGCCCCCGAGCAGTGCGGTGACCACACAGTGTTGTGGGTCAGTGGGGATTGCGGGTGGCCGCACGGTTTCGGGACTCGTGGTTCGTTCTTCGATGATGTCTCGGGCGTTTGAGGCCTCCGAGGTCCCAACGCCATGCGGCGCTGATGGACCGCGCGATAACGTTTGCGGGTTTCGAGGTCACCGCACGAACTGTCACCGCACCGTTTTGGGACCCCCGACAAAGGGAGGGGGGGCGGCAGGGGGAAGGGACGAGTTCGTGGGAGGGCAGGGCACCAACTCTGAGTTGGCACTGCTTTCACAACCCTCCTGGGAGGCTGCGGCAGGTTCCCGCCAGTGCGGGCGTCCAAGGTTGAACGCCGAGGCCGCCGACAGCGGCCCGGAATCGACAGCTATGGAGCGATTTGCGCCATCGGAAAGTCGTGATTTTTCCTGCCCGATCCTCGCAGTGCCAGGAGCCAGCGCACAGGTCGTCACGATGCGAGCATGCCGTGGAGAGGAGGAGGGAGAAAGGAGACCCCCCGAAGAGATCAGATGGCGTGGAGGTGGCCAGGGGGAGCGGCAGGCGAGCTGGGCTGCCCCAGGGGGAGCAGGGCCGCTCCTCTGCGGGTCGCCTCCGCTGCTCGCGGGCTCCTCCTGTTGCTTTCCTCCCTCCATCCTTGCTCCTTCGCAGGGAACGTCTCGCGCCCAATGCCCGAGAATATTCGCTCTCTCTCTCTCTCTCTCTCTGTCTTTTTTCCCAACCATTATGTGGTGTTGGGTCCTCGTTTCGAAGAGACGGTCCCCGCGTTCCTCCTCCCTCCCCCTCCTCCCCCCCCCCCCCTCCTCTCTTCTCCTTGCGTTTCACCCACCCTGGATCAGAACGTGGCTCCATAGGGAGCTCCACCGAAGGTCCCAGTGGGACCGCCCGCATGCGTCAACCACCACCCAGCACAGCCCTTCCTCCCTGCGTTTGGCCCACACAGTGCAGCGTTTCGTGGCCCCATTGGGAGCTCCACCGAAGGTCCCAGTGGGACCGCCCACATGCGTCAACCACTACCCAGCACAGCTCTTACTCCCTGCGTTTCGCACACCCAGTACAACGCTGCGTGGCCCCATAGGGAGCTCCACCGAAGGTCCCTGTGGGACCGCCCACATGAATCAACCACCACCCAGCACAGCCCTTCCTCCCTGCGTTTCACCCGCCCAGTGCAACGCTTCGCGGCCCCATAGGGCGCTGCACCGAAGGTCCCAGTGGGACCGCCCACAGCGTCAACCACCACCCAGCACGGCCCTTCCGCCTTGCGTTTCGCCCACCCAGTACAGCGCTTCGTGGCCCAATAGGGGGTTCCACCGAAGGTCCCAGTGGGACCGCCCGCATGCGTCAGCCACCGCCCAGCACAGCGCTTCGTGGCCCTATAGGGGGCTCCACAGAAGGCCCCAGTGGCACCGCCCGCATGCGTCAGCACCGCCCAGCACAGCGCTTCGTGGCCCCGTAGGGAGCTCCACAGAAAGACCCCAGTGGCACCGCCCACAAGCGTCGTCCACCACCTAGTACTCCATGTCGCGGCCCCATTGATTGGGAGCTCCACCAAGCCCCAATGGCACCGCCCGCATGCGTCCCCCCCCCACCCGGTACAGCAATTTCGTGGCCCCGTAGGGAGATTCATTGGGACCCCCCACCCAGTGCAGCGTTTCGTGGGCCCATAGGGAGCTCTACCGAAGGCCCCAGAGGCACCGCCCGCATGCGTCCCCCCTCCTAGAAAAGCGCTTCGTGGCCCCATTAGGGGGCCCCACCGAAGGCCCCCACCGGCACCGCCCGGATGTGTCGGCCACTACCCAGTACAGCGCTTCGTGGCCCCGTAGGGAGCTCCACAGAAAGACCTCAGTGGCACCGCCCGCGTGCGTCTCCCCCAACCAGAACAGCGCTTCGTGGCCTCATCGGGAGCTCCAGCGAAGGGCACCGTCCGCATGCGTCCGCCACGCCCAGTACAGCGTCTCGTGGCCCACAGGGAACCCCACCGAAGGCCCCAGAGGCACCGCCCGCTTGCGTCTCCCCCACCCAGTACGGCACGTCCTTCACGCGCTTCGTGGCCCTATAGGAAGCTCCACCGAAAGCGGCACGCACAACGCGTTACTCACGTCTGCATATGGTTGGGTCCTTCGCCAAGATAAGTTTCTTCTCTCTCTCTCGCCCTCTCATTTCTTTGTGTCTCTCTCTTTCTCTCTCTCATCTCTCTCTCTCTCTCTCTCTCTCTCTCTCTCCAAACTAGTCGTTTATAACATGTGGGGAACTCAGGGATGCAGTGGGGAAGTTGAAATGAGGATCAGGTCGGGTGTGGTCGGGGCTTGCAGTTCTCCAGGTCCTTCCATGGTGGTTTCTTTAGCGCTCCTCGTTCACCCAGACGCTCCTGGGGCCCACAGGGAGGTCCGTTCCGTATATACCATTCTTGGTGGTAGCAGTTTGATTGTACACCCCGAGGGGGCTATTGGGGCGCACCTCTATCGAGGATGGACGCCCGTTTATCGTATGTCCCCGAGTTGGGCCAAAACTTACTCGGCCCATCGGACACAAAGTCGGGGGATTGGGGCCCCCTGTATCCCTTGTTTCCCCTTCCTGCTCGATCCTCTCTTCTCTTTTCCGCCAGGAGTGGCATGAGAGCAGCCTCGCGAACTAGGTGGCATGCTCATTCGCGTGGCCGGGCGCCTGCGCTCTTTTTGGGCTCCCTGCTCCCTCCCTGCCATGCTCCTCACCTTCTGACCGCTTGCTTTGTGCAGCGGTGGCAATTCCGAAGTCGCGCCAGCAGGATGCTATGAATGGCCCCTGGCAACGTCGCTTGAGGGCGCTAGATAGCTGTTCGGGTCCGGGCGACCCGCTGAGATCACAGGGTTCAGGGACACCAAGACGGTCCGTTTGGTTCCAATGGGTGTCGCGCGCGGTCAGGACAGTTGAGGAACAAACCAATTGAACAACCCGCCTGCCCCCATTTCGGTTGTCTGCGTTCATTTGCCACGAGCGATACAGAGGGAGGACGAGTGCGACTTGGTATGCGCAGCCGAGACCGTGACAGCGGAGCAGATGGCGTTCATCATTCGACATACAACCGGCATCGTGTCCGCCGCCCAGAGCGGATGCATGTGGGCAGAGATGGTCAGAGGGAGTGAGGACAAGGATGCGGGTGTGAAGTGTTGTGACGGGCGGAATAGGATGGGGGACAAGGGGAGGATGTTTCTGAGAGGGCGTTCTCAGAAGCCTCGGGGTCCTAAGAGGGCCCCTGCCGTCTAAGAACCCTGAGAACCGGGCTTCCGACGTTTTGAATTTTCAAACCGCTGCACCCCGGAGGTTTGGACTCCTTCTGGAGTCATCATGAGTCGTTTCGTCTGTGTCCTGGTTCCCAATACAGGCACCCCTCAGACCGAAAACAGCAACAACTTGTGTCGCGACGTGAGAGTTCGCGCGCCAGCCTAGAACGTAAGGTTTTAGTGTGAGGTGCTTGGGGAGGGGGAGGGCCATGCATCTCCCTTCTTCTGTCCTCTTCCCCTCTGCGGCCCACTTTGGCTCAAGTTTTTCTCTCGGGCCCTTGTGCAGGGCACGCGCGCTGGGGGCGCGCGCGCCCCGCGGCCTGGGGCCGCACAGGCCCGCCCGCCGGCGGCCACTGCGCTGCGGGCGCATGGCTGCCGGCGCCACCTGAGGTTTCCTGCAGGCGGCCAAGGCGGGAATGATGGCACTGCCGCCGATGATCATAGGAGCGGTGGCGGCTGTCGAAATTGGCCGCAGGTGGCGGGGGCAGCCAGCGACACCCGCGCTGCCACCAGCGGCTCGCGACGGAGGAGGTCCACCTGGCGAGGTCGAGGTGGACGGTGGGAAGGCATACCCTCCCTTGCTGCGGGCGCTGGAGGAGGGCCAGCGGCGTCGCAGCACGGCGGCGGCGACACAGGAGCCGCAGCGCCACCCGCCCCCGTCGGCGAAACCCGATGTGGCTGCCGTTGGCAAGGAGCGAGCGCCACCGTCGGGGCCTGCAGTGGGCAAGCCGGCGGGGGGCAAGGGGCGGCAGCCGCCCCCGGCAGCGGCGGCAGCGGCTGCCCCGCAGCCCATCGCGCCACCCGAACCCCCAGGAGAGGCGGGCGAGGGGACGCCGCGGGGACACGTGAGCGCCGCGGTGAAGCTGCGCTGCGCGAGGCGCCAGGTGCGGAGGACCCCGAGCTCGGAGACATCGACCCGCAGGCGGTGATTAGGTACCTGGCGGCAGCGGAAAACAGCGGTCTAGGGTGCACAAGCTTGGGGCGACAGCTGAGGAGACTGGCGAGGGATGACTCCAGGCGGGCAGGCGGCCGAGCGGACATGGACTACGCCCCCGAGCTCCAGGAGCTGGTGGACGCGGCAGTGGTGGCCCCGGTCGCTCGCGGGACGAGGGCAACCTACGGGGTTGCGTGGAGGCAGTGGACGACGTTCTACCGGATCCGCCGCAGGTCCCCGATCTTGCACGGCGAGACGCGCGAGGAAAGGCATCAGGATGAGGAGGAGCTGCTGCTGTTCATGGTGCACTTGTACAACAGTCTCCGCAGGTCGCACGGCACCCTCCGCTCGAAGCTCCTCGGCATCCGCTCGCAGCGCGTGATGCTCGGGGAGCCTGACCCCCTGGCGGGGGAGCCCCGTGCGTGGATGGCGCTCGACGGCATCGAGAACTGGCAGGGCCCAGGTTAGAGGAAGCTCCCGATGACTTGTAAGTCCCGGGGGGGTCTGCATCTTTCCCGCGATCAGGGGGGCCCTGCTGTCTGCGCGAGGCAGTCCGAGGGCAGATGTTGTATGAAATTGCGCAGAGCGCTTGTCTCGGTAAGCAACTTGCCGCGACGCCAGGAGCTGCTCTGACGGCACTTCCCGCGTCGCAGCGCACTGGCCTCCTCGGCGCGGCAAAGGAAAGTCTTGCAATGGGCATTGACAGATCTGATGGGGACCTGCGCCACGCCCACGCAGGAAATATACAGATGCAGGGCGGGGCCAACGAAATTTGACTACTAAACATTCGGTTGGCGAAGGAGAGCAGGCAAGGCTCGCGCAGGAGACCCGAATGGGAAATGCGCAGATCCGGCAGAACGCCCAGAGAAAACAAGTAATGATTCGATGAGAAGCCCCGGAAACAAAACTAAACTGACTTACGGAAACGAGAATTCAGGCAACAGCGCCCAGAGACGGGGCGCGGGAGGGGCGGGGCGCGCGCGGCGGCCCCCGGGCCCCTTGCTCCGCGCTCGCGAAGCCGTCTCCATGGCCGCCGCAGTGGCCCTCGGCCGCGCGCGCAATGGAAGAAGGACCTGGCGGGCCGCCACGCGCGCCGCGGCACTGGCCCAGGCTGCGCGGAAGAGAACAAATGCGCGAGGGAACGGGGCGCCGCGCGCGACGGCCTTCGCGCCGGGTCGGCCGCGGGCTCGGAAGCCTCGGCCCATCGCGCAGAATCTCTATATATATATATATATATAACTCTGCGCGAGGCGAGGGGGGCGGGGCCAGGGGCGCCGCGCGCGCGGCGGCTCTGTCCAATTCGGCGCGACAAGAGACAATTCGAGGCGGGCCCGGAACACAGCGCTCGGAGCGGCTCAAGCGATTCACGGAGGGAACAACGCCGCGCGCGAGGGGCCTGGGCCGCTGCCCTGGCGGCCCCTGCCCATTCGAATCGGATGCGGAGCCGCGCGCGAGGGGGGCGGGGAAGCCAGTCGCGCGGCGCCCTGGCCGATTCAGCTTTACCAAACCAGATGGCGAAGGGGCAAGGCCGACGCGTTCGCGCCGCCGCAGCGGCGGCCGCCGAGCGCGCGGCAATGCTGGTCCAGTCTGCATGGGGAACGCGGCGCGCGCGGCGGCAGGGCCGCCGCGAGCGCGGCGACGCTGGTCACTTCTGAAGGGGTGCACGCCGCGCGCGCGGTGACTCCGCCGCCGCGCGCGCCCGCGACGGCCTTGCCCCATTCTGCGCGCAGAGACGCGGCGTGCGACGGGCGCGGCCGCCGCGGGCCCCGCGCCCCCTGTTCACGTTGAATGCGTCGAAGAAGCGTGCGCCAGACAGGGGGGGGGAGCGCGGCCGCTCGCGCCCCTGGCAAATCGCGCGCGACAGAATACCGCGCGCACGGGAGCAGGGCCGCCGCTCGCGGGGGGGGGGGGGCAAGGCGGCCGCGCAGCGGCCCTGGCCCACTCTGAACGGGCCAGCGCGATGCGCGAGGGGACAAGGCCGCCGCGAGGGCGGCGGACCTGCTCCTTTCCAGCTGGAGCACCCGAGCGCGCGAACGGGCAAGGCCGCCGCCCGCGCGAAAGCCCCGGCCATTCCTGAGTTAGGAAACACAGCGCGCGTCAGAAAGCAGCACGGCCGCACGCGCGGTGGCTCTTGCCAGTTCTGCGCGTCAGTGCAGTGCGCGAAGGGGCGGGCCCGCTGCTCGCGTGGCGGGCCTGCCCCGTGTCGCGTTGGAAAAAAAAAAACACACACATCGCGGGCGAGCTAGGCGCGGCGGTCGCGCGCGCGGAGAAAACGCCGCGCGCGGGAAGGGGGCAGAGCCGCCGCGCGCGCGGCGCCCGCGGCCAATCCTGAATGCGCAGCTACGTCCGCAAGGGCGCAGGTCTGCCGCGCGCGCGTCGGCCCTGGCCCAATCTGATTGAAAACTAAGCCACGCGCGCGGGCCCGCGGCCACCGCGCGCGCGGCCACCCTGGCCCACTCGGCTCAAGGGAACGCAACGCCCGAGGCCACGGGCCCGCTCCACGTGGGCACGGGGGCGTTGTGTCCGAGCGGGCACGGCGGCAGCGCGCGGCGGCCCTGGCGCGCCCTGCACAGGGCGGCGCGCCCCGCGGGGGTGGGGTGGGGGCAGGGCAGCCGCGCGCGCGGCGGCCTCGGCCGACTCTGCAACGCCGCGCGCGGGGGGGGCAGCGGGCGCCGCCGCGCGCGCGCGGCGGCCTTGGCCTGGCCCAGCTGGAGAGCCGCGGGGCGCGGGGCAGGGCCACCGCGCGCAGCGCCGCCCTGGCCCAGGCCCCGCCTGGATAAAGAATCGCGCGCGGGGGCAAGGCCGCCGCTCGCGCGGCGACCTTGGCCCATTCTGCATCGAATTCCCAGAGTGCGCGACGGGTGGCGAGACGGGCGCCCCCGCGGCGGCCCTGGCACCGCTTGGAACGGCAGGGCGGCGCGCGAGAGGGGGCAGCGCCGCGCCTTCGCACGGCCCCGCCCCAATCTACTGGAAAGGCGCCGCGCGCGAGGCGCAGAACGGGCGCGCGCGAGGCCGATCAGGCACGTCCTGCGTCTGAAGACGCTGAGCAGGAGTAGTCGGGGCGGTCGCGCTGAAGACGGCACTGGCCCTGCCTGCGCGGGGAAAAGCCCAATGCGCGAGGGGCGCAGCTGCCGCGCGCGCGGCGGCCCTGGCCCATGGCGCGCGCGCGCGTGTGCAAGCATATTTCTCCGTATGGGTATAACAAGTACACTTGTTTGTCCACGTTTACACAACACTACATACAAACATACGCATATGCATGCATACACGCATACATGCATGCATACAAACATATGTGTATAAAGATATGTGTGCGCAAACATGCGTATAACGGTATGTCTGGTTTGTAGTGTTGCGCGTAGGTGCTCATATATATATATATATATGTATATATGTTTATATATATACATATATTGTATATGCGAAACAGAAGTCCCGCGAGAGCAGGGCCGCCCCGCGCACGGCGGCGGTGGCCTGTTCACCGCGAGGAGAATAATGCGCGAGGGCATGGCCGCCGCGCGCGCGGCGGCCCAGTCCAAACCTCGCACGGAACGGCACAGGGCGCGAGAGGGCAGGGCAGACACGCACCTTCCCGAGCTGGATGGGCGAACGCAGCGCGCGGGGGGGCAAGGCCGCCGCGTTCGCGCGCCAGTTAGGGCGCCATCGGGTCAGAACTACGCCCCTCCCCTATGGCACGCTGTGGCTGGGGGGGCGTCCCGCCGCGGTGTTCCGATGGTGCCCCGTGGCGCCGCGATCGTTTCCCGAGGTGTCTCGCGGTTGCCCGCGGCGTCCGCGTCGCAGTGCGCAGCGGTGTCCCGTGGTGCCCAGTAAGTGTAAATTGTTAGCGATCTCCCAACTGGCGCCTGCTGCTCACCGA